AGTATGTTGACCAGACCACACACTAGAAATTGAAGGGACGACGACGTTTCGGTCCGTCCTGGACCATTCTCAAGTCGATTGTGATTGGACCATTCTCAATCGTTACTATAAGTACTACCAAAACAGGATGATGGGCTGTCATAACATAGCTAAGAGTGGTGAAGAACTGTTTTCAGATACTTATCAAATAAAATTTTTAACAAGTTGCAACTAGCCAGGGAAGCTGGAATGCAGGACTGATGAAATCTGAGGGAAGGAGAGTAGAGACCCTGAACAGGGACCTGGAAATGTACTAACGAGAAGCAGAAGAAGCATACACATCAAACCTAGATGCTCAACCTGGATCAAAAGTATCTATTGCCAACCCTCCTGTAACCCCAAACTCCTGGAAGAAGGGCTAGAGATGGAGCCCAAATCTACTCTGGAACCCAAAGGCCCCTTTGCCCCTAGAAGGAGAGTCCTTCAAATTGTCCACAAAAACAAGTGATCAGCTATGATATGGCTGCCACTACTGCTAAAAAATCCTCGGTCAAGCCGAGGGGATCTAATGCCAATACTGTACCTCGGGAAGCAGGGATGCTCAAAGCCAAAGCAGTTTAAGAGTCCTTGTTAGAGGCAGAGGCAGGAAGGTAGCATGGGTAATTACAAGATGTACAAACAATATCTTTTCCATTCGGGAAAATAACAGTGAAAAGTCTGGATTTAGTTTTAAGTTCACATCCCCAAAGCCTCAAAATTCTCTTCAAAAGAGAAGCAGCTCACACAGCACTGACTGCAGTTCAAGACTGCAAAAGCTAGTCCCATGTGTGAACTTGAAGGCATAGTAGTCTGATAGGCTGCTACCTGCAAGAGTGGCTCAACCATCAAAGTTCTCAAATATTGCACACTTATGGATATAATAAACCTGACCTCAGTAGGCAGAGTGATGGAGGCAACAGGAATGTCTGCTACGAGTTGCATTCCTAAATACTGCAAGCACCATGAGTCAAGAGAAGGCGAGGATGTCATCACAAAACGACCAACAAAGCCAAAAAGTGAAACAAGCCACCCAGATCCAATGAGAATTGGGTGTCCAATCCATTAATTAAGAAACATCTGAAAGTGCCAGATGCAGAGAAAGTGAAGCAAATTTCTACCCTCCGAACCCCGGAATATCACAGATGAGGAAAGGCATATGATGCCCCAGAAATTAGACCAAAAGAATCCTTGAATACTAAACCACACACCCTAAAATGAGATGATGTTTTGGTCTGTCCTGGACCATTAGTGTATCAATCAACTTGATAATGGTCCAGAACAGACCAAAATGTCGTCTCCTCATCTTCTGGTGTGTGTTTAGTCTTCACATCTTCAGCCACGTTATTGTGACTCATCGTATGAAAAGGAATCCTTCACCACCCAAGTTAAATCTCAAACTTACAAGACACACCTATAAATAAAACACTAAAAATAATAATTATTTAGTATGTAGATAGTGAACCTAATTCCCATCAACAGGTTTGGCATTAGGACCAAGTACAGTATACCCAGGCACCGGGGCAACTCTAGAGAAGCAGCCCCAGAAAGTAAGACAACTGAATCCTTCAGATGACAACTCTGGTGAGGAAACGATTAACACACACCAGGAAGGATAACCCTGAAATAAATTTCTGGTGAACTAATAAGCCAAGGACACATACGATGGAGAACATAAGTACAATTGTGAAGCTTAATGAAAAAGTGAAATAAAATACTAAGCATGGCCATCCCATTCCCCTATTTGGGAGAAGAAGAACCCACGGAATATTAACTCCCACATAGCTTAAAGTGTCAGTCATTGTAGCTGAGTAGTGATGTATCTTATACTAGGCATGTGATCAGTACTTGCAGACGAGTAGTGCTGTCTGGTACCAGGCATGTGAGTGAGGAGGGAGACAGGATGGACCCCTGGGGTGACTAGACTTGCCACCTGGTAATGTGCTTTGGTACTAATACATGGTCTGCAGACACTGGGCGAACAACTCCTTCCCTCTTGCTCATCTTTTCATTCTCTAATCAAGACAGTTTATTTTGCTTTACCTGTACTGTACTTTGGTTACTGTATTTACTTGGTTACTGGGTGCATCTCAGATTCCCATACTCTCTCCCTTGCCTTTGATTACATCAGATTCTGGCCCTGGTATTTGGTGGGCATATTCAACTGCCTAGTAGTTTTGTGGTTTAACTCAAGGAAACAGTGCCAGGGAAAAGCACATGCATAGTGTGTAGCATATATGGCAACTGTTAATAATCTCCTGTATACAGTATTTTTAAAATCTTTAATTACTTGCATATTTACCAGCTAATATTTGTGATTATTGCATTTTAGTAATTACAAAGTACCTTTTATTATCAGTATGCACAGTATACTATTCTTTAAAACTATTGTTTGCTTGCCCATTACATTCTAGTCAAGATTAAAATTATCTCTACTTCATAACTAATACAATTCATATACCATATTGCAAGGCTGGATCTAACTGTCGTTGGGCCCCTGGGTAAAAACAGCTAAATAGACTAGCCACACTGACCAGAGTGAGGCCCCAAGGCTAAACATGTAAATAAAGACAGCTCATAGACAGTACAGGAATTATAGAAAAAAATATTCACCAGGCAGTGTTCTTAAGTAACTGATTACTTAGTAATCAAGTAATCTAAGTATTATTTGATATTTGGCTATTTTCATGATATAAAAAGTGTTAATGGGCCTCTCAGGTGCTGGTGGGCCCTAGGCCATAGCCTGTCATGTAATCCAGCCCTGCAATACTGCAAGAGTACATACAGTCAGTCCCTAACTTGTGTAAACACATTTGTAAGTCAAGTCATTCATAATTTAAAACCAGATTTCTTATAGGTGCAATGCTATAAATTGGGCATACATTCATGGACCTCAAAAAAACCACACAAAATCCTATTTTGTTTGTATAAATAGTGTAAGAAACATTGCTTTTAATTGATCTTGAATGATGGAAGTAACCTGCTTGTTTGATTTTGTGCTCTATGAAGAGCAAAGAGGTTCGACTACTAAGAGGAAGCAGTAAAGGATAAAGATCGATGTGCAAGCACTGGTACATCACCTACAAACTTCTTTTCAGCAATTATTGAGACACCTGTCCTTAATAAACAACTGAAATTGTTTATTAGTACAACCCATCCTCAGACCAAGTCCATTCCATTCAGCGGTCAACCCAAAAGATCCATTCATCAATTTTAACATGCTGTTCTTTCAAAACAGGAATTTTCTCAAATATACATTAATACATATTGTTATATATTAGCATATTGTGCATATTTAGGCACTGGTTAGGTTAGGTGTTTAAGTTCTGTTGGTGATTATGTTTATTTGTAGTATATGGGTGAAGCATTTACTGTGTCGTGGTTCTAACAAAATTCGTCAGCGAAGCACTTGTTCGAGAAGTGTTCGAACGTCATCAGTTGTGAGTCATGTGTTAACCATTTTTCATTCATGAACTGGATGTTTGGCGGGTTCATGGAATGGACTTTTGCCTTTGTTTTATTAGGATGGGCTGATTAGTGGCACTGTTCATAATGAGATTTGAAAAAATGTTCACATAACAGGACAAAGGGCTAAAATGGGGACTTTGAGGCGCTTTAAAAGACTGGAACATTGTAAGTCAGATGTTCGTAAGTCAAGAACCCCCTTAATTGTGTTCTGCAATTAAACACTGTATCCGTGCAATATGTAAATTTTATTTTCATTTCTTGTAGTACTTTTAAAGCTATTTATTGACAAAATATATTGAAGCATGTTTCTTTATATCCAGTATAGCAAAGTTAGGGAATAACTAAATGGTCACAATTTAATTTCTGAGCAGGACTAGAAATGCTTAGGCACATTTCCTTACACCTAGCAAGAAACAGATATATAAATGTTAGGAACAGATGTGGATGGGATCCTGGGAAGGATCTGATTGATCTTCCTCAAGAAATCGTACTTTTGTTTGTAAAAGTTAGGTGCCTTTTTATTTGACCATCTTATTGTTTATATTGCATTGAAATACGTATACAGTACCAGCAAGCTTCTGTAAACTCATTTAGTTCTAACGATGATGCATCTACTTTATATAGATTAGGAATATTTTTATTACTTTTTAAGACATTGTTATTAGTTTATGCTCATTACAATTCCATTCATACTGTACTTCCCTTAATACAAGAAGATTTGCAAATCAGTAAGAACAATAAAGTACTGTATTACATTAGATGAAATTTTTCCTTGTTAACTTGTTAACCCTGAAAGGTACACAAATTATAACTGTTTTCTTCAGGTCGTGGGACTCTGTACTGCCATCCAGATTCCCAATTACTAGAGGCTTTTAAAAGGTGAATAGAATAGATACAGTGGCCAGATCATCTCGCTGTGCCCAGGATTTAAACCTAGGTCCTCTCACTTGTAGCACAAGTGATCTAATCACTAGATCAGACACCCCATGCAGGGTGGGAATACCTAGATGCTGTTCCTTCACTCCGACCAACCTATGTTCTGTTATAAACATGTCTAAATAATGAATCAAGTTGCAGTGCTTGGACCAAGACACAGCAACCTATATGCATATATATATACTGTAGTAGATTTAAAAGGGCAGAAGACAAATGCTGCATTTTTGTAATTTAAAAGTGTTTATGAAACTAGCTTTATGTAACGTAATGCAGAATAATGAAATGCTATACTGCACACCACACTATTATACAATTTATTAAAATAAAAGTTAGGAAAATTATATAATGTGCAAGTACTATACTGTGCACGGCATGTACTGTAATATTTATAGTTTGTCTAATGTTGCTGCTGAAAATGAAATGTATAATTTGGTTACAGACCAGAATTACCAAACACAAAATAGCAATGAAGTACTGTAGATAATAAAAAACAATCTTCGAATTTCAAAACTGTTGAGGCTTTAGTTGTCAATCTTGATAGTTGAAAGTCGGCAAGGGTGGACCACCTGGGACATACTAACCTGTTTTCTTCGTGGTGGTCTTGATGGTGTGAGGGTCGGCACTCTTGTGAGAGGTGGTCTTTAGGGAAGTGGTGCTGAGGGAAGTGGTGGTAGTGGAAGTGGTGGTGGTCTTAGGGGTAGTAGTGGTGGTAGTAGACTTGGTGGTGGAGGTGGTAGTAGTGGTGGTGCCTCTAGTGGCTGGCAGGCCTGCAATGAGATACACAAAATACACCACGGCTAAGCATCTAGCAACTAGAAGAGGATTTTGTAGTAGTCTAATGTCTATATTTACCAAACTGCTTTAAGCATCCCACAAATTTGAACCATACCAAGAGGCCAGTGGACTTTTTATGAGCCAAAAAATAAGTACTAGTAGTAATATAAATTGCAAACTTGATATTTTGTTAAATTTTTATAATGCAGAGTACTGCTGGTAAAGCAGTTAGTATGTATATATGTATATATGTATATATATATATATATATATATATATATATATATATATATATATATATATATATATATATATATATATATATATATATATATATATATATTATATATATATATATATACTGTATATATGTGTACTACTGTGCTCATTCTCAAGATTGTGCACCAAGAAATTAAAAAAGATCCTGCAAGTTCTGAAGAGATTTGAGAAATAATTGATGACATCCATGAGAAATATGATTAAAATTATTTTATTAACTTAGTCCATTAATCATTGTCAAATTTGACTATAAAAAGCATTTGTTGGCTGGTCACTACAGTTGGAAGATTTTTCAAATTCAATTATAGCTTAGTGAGAGTGTACACTATTGTAATACTATAGGAGAGCAGGGGCATACTACTCAGTACATTATATTTTATAGTACTGGAAATTAATCAACTTTTGCTAATGCTTATAGCTTAAAGGAGCTAGAACCATATATTATACTCCATTTGACTACTTTTATATAGATTTTGAGACTACATTATTAAGAAGTTTTATCACATTGGGAAAAGCATAAGCAAATTATAATGCATGAAAAGGAGCAGACACCCAGAGTCACTAGAGAACTAGGAGTGGCTCACTAAAAAACAGGCAAGATGCAACAAAACGCATGGCCAAACAAAACTGACATACACTATCAAACTCATGAAGGATGGCAAACGTATTCAGATATAAATCTCTTGAAGAAGCAATGCATAAATAAGAAATGTGTGCAGACTGGATTTGGTGAGGACAGGTAATCAGTTTAAGGTTATTGGGATAAGGCTGGGAGAGGAAGGCTTGCTGGAGAACACCTGACGAGAGCCACACAAACTAATTCATGTGTATACGACAAAATTTGTGAATATTAGACTAAATATTTGCAGAACAAATTTACCATACCACATTAAAACCAGTCAAACAATTACGTGGTTTAATTAGATGTTCCATTATATTATACGCAATCAATTTTGCAACACTTTTATGGTACAATATAAACAGCATTTTTCAAGATATGACTGAAGGACAGAATAATGGAAAGAATCCTTATTCACATAAAAATCTCTTGGATACATCAACAGCTTTGTAGATATGTAGAGCATGACTGATGCTGTTTTGAAGTTCAATGTACTTTACTGTACATCTGTAAGTAAATGAAGTGTCAGTGAAATAGATGATGAAAGTCAGAGAAAGTGGTAGATATGTTTGGAAGAGAAAACATAATTTAGTAAAAGCCCAGGTGAATGGAACATAATTTAGTTTTTGAGGCTCGGTGTATACAATGCAGCTTGTCAATTAAAATTCCAGTATAGTACAGCTAATATGTAAAATCAAAATAATACAAGAAAGGTTTTTTTACAATGAGTATATGTATGCATGCAATTATATGTATAAAAAGTCTCATGGAGTTAAAATTATATAAATCTATAGAAACTGAAGACAAGATAATTAATAACCAGTTTAAAAAATGCTATGCAATACTGTACAAGAAACTTTGCTTTGAAATATTTTGAACTTTTTTATTATTGCACGATCATGTACTCTCTCAAGGAGTAGTTAAATATCTAAATATAAAGAAAGCAGCACTAAATGGTGACAAATTATGGAATGAAACGAAGTGTTGATATGGATGGCAAAACTAAGGTGAACCGATAGGTCAAAAAGTAAGGGTGGCACATTATTTACACTCCCTCGTCTTTCTAAAGTTTAGGGAAGATATAGGGTGTGAAGAGTGGGTTTAATGAAGGTACATGTGTAAAATCAGTTTTAGTGAATATATAAAGGATGTGTAATCAGGTTTAAAGAACATGCAGATCAGAGATATGGGCACCTACAGCACAAAATACCAAGTGTGAGTGTTGTTACTGTGTTAGGGGGAGCTGCAGTACAGAATCCAAGTGTGAGTGTTGTTACTGTGTTAGGGGGAGCTGCAGTACAGAATCCAAGTGTGAGTGTTGTTACTGTGTTAGGGGGAGCTGCAGTACAGAATCCAAGTGTGAATGTTGTTATTGGGTTAGGGGAAGCTGCAGTACAGAATCCAAGTGTGATTGATGGTGGTGTTTTCAGTGTTGCTCTGACCAATTGACCTTGTATACAAGAACTGATACGACCAAGTTTAATATGATGACTGTGTTTACTCCATTTCAATGATCTAAGAGCAGATGCCAAGAATAAAACTATTGGATAATATTGAAGTGTGAAAATTTGCATGTGTTAAGTTGAAAATAAAAAAGAACTGAAAGTATGAGAGAACACAGGTAGGCCAAGTCCCTATAAAACTTGTGTGTGTGTGTGTGTGTGTGTGTGTGTGTGTGTGTGTGTGTGTAATATATATATATATATATATATATATATATATATATATATATATATATATATATATATATATATATATATATATATATATACAATATATAATACAATATATATACTGTATATATATATTACTGGTATATATATAGTATATAGACAGTACAGCATACATGAATGATACACATCTTTAATATGAAAGTTTTAGGTCAGTCATTGACCTACTAAACAAGGTAAGAAGATGAAGTTTTAGCCATATATTCTATCAAATGTTTGAAAATAAAAGTGGATTAACAAATAAAAATTTAGTTGATATTCGAACATGATTTGAAAATAAATATGGGTATATAAAAATATTAATAAATTAGTTTAGGAGAACAACAAGATTCTTTATCAATGGTGTCAAAAAATAATATTGTTATAATACATAAAATAATATGAGAAGTTGATGTATCTTAAGAGATTATGAACAATGAAGTAATACAAATTTACAAGTGTTTATACAATAAAAATCCTATCATAGCACCCTGCCCATGTTCTGACCACTGTACTAATAGCTGTAATAGTTTTGAAATTAGCAACTAAATCTGAATATATAAAGTACTTTACTACAGCTTCTGAATTCCAAAGTCATGGCACTGTAGCAATAATCCATACATACAATACTCATTCAAAACTGCAATCAACCATCTTGGTGTTAAACTCTAAACAGGTGACCTGATCAATCCTTGACCCTAATACTGCAACTTGCTCTACTAGTGGGTGTCACAGTGTTACAGACTGTAGTGTCATGACGCTAGTTCTGGTGACTTGTCTACAACCATTAAGCAGTGTGTGAGAGAGGCAACGATGCTGTTTCAGTGGTATCAGTGAACCTAAACTGTCAAGTGATCAAATGAATGCATTATTCCAATGCTTAATCATGCTTAAACAATCCAATCAGTGCACAAGAAAAACAAATCAAATGACTTAAAAAACTGATGATTACAAGCTTAGACTTAACTTTTAAGATACGAGACAAGGGGGATACAGATATATGGCATCCAGATCACCACTTACGACTGCGTTAAGATTCAGGTATACTCTGAAGATGAGAGGCGGGTTTACATACCATTGTTGGGGATGTGGTTGTTGGCCTGGTCGTGGGCGGGCTGGGAGGCTGGGTCACAACACACCTTGAAGACCACCTTCATGTGGTGGGTGGAGCACCGCCCTCCAATACGACGGTGCAGGTCCTCCTTACTTGAGGTGGCTGTCGGAAACACAACAACGTTACTCAGAACACCAGTCTTGTACTGATCATCCTGCCATACGTGGACAGTCACAGGGGGAGAGGTGAGGGTGGGACAGTCACAGGGGGAAGAGGTGAGGGTGGGACAGTCACGGGGGGGAGAGGTGAGGGGGGGACAGTCACGGGGGGGAGAGGTGAGGGTGGGACAGTCACAGGGGGGAAGAGGTGAGGGTGGGACAGTCACAGGGGGAAGAGGTGAGGGTGGGACAGTCACGGGGGGGAGAGGTGAGGGTGGGACAGTCACAGGGGGGAAGAGGTGAGGGTGGGACAGTCACAGGGGGGAAGAGGTGAGGGTGGGACAGTTACAGGGGGGAAGAGGTGAGGGTGGGACAGTCACAGGGGGGACAGCTGAGGGTAGGACAGTCACATGGGGACAGGTGAGGGTAGGAGGAGAGTCACAGGGGGACAGGTGAGGGTGGGAGGAGAGTCACAGGAGGACAGGTGAGGGTAGGAGGAAAGTCACAGGGGGACAGGTGAGGGTTGGAGGACAGTCACAGGAGGACAGGTGAGGAGAACTAGGTGAGAGAGACAGGAAGCACTGCACGTAAGTTATAAAAATGATAAAAACATACACTGTAAATTATATGAATACCTGTATTTATTTTTCATAAATACAACTGTTGTAATATGAGTGGGAGAGGAAGGTGGGGGGGGTGAGAGGAGAGGAGGAAGGGGGAGGAGGGGAGGGGGAGGGAAGGGGGAGGAGGGGAGGGAGAGGAAGGGGGAAGAGGGAGGGGGAGGAGGGGAGCGTTAATCATAAAAACCGTAATTTACATTATTGAATATAAACATTAAAATATTTAACAATACTAACCTGGAGATACGAGTTGTTAGTTACTCACAGTAACTCATGCAGAAGTTGCTGGTTACTCACAGTAACTCATGCAGAAGTTGCTGGTTACTCACAGTAACTCATGCAGAAGTTGCTGGTTACTCACAGTAACTCGTGCAGAAGTTGCTGGTTACTCACAGTAACTCGTGCAGAAGTTGCTGGTTACTCACAGTAACTCGTGCAGAAGTTGCTGGTTACTCACAGTAACTCGTGCAGAAGTTGCTGGTTACTCACAGTAACTCGTGCAGAAGTTACTGGTTACTCACAGTAACTCGTGCAGAGGTTGCTGGTTACTCACAGTAACTCGTGCAGAAGTTGCTGGTTACTCACAGTAACTCGTGCAGAAGTTGCTGGTTACTCACAGTAATTCGTGCAGAAGTTGCTGGTTACTCACAGTAATTCGTGCAGAAGTTGCTGGTTACTCACAGTAACTCGTGCAGAAGTTGCTGGTTACTCACAGTAACTCGTGCAGAAGTTGCTGGTTACTCACAGTAACTCGTGCAGAGGTTGCTGGTTACTCACAGTAACTCGTGCAGAAGTTGCTGGTTACTCACAGTAACTCGTGCAGAAGTTGCTGGTTACTCACAGTAATTCGTGCAGAAGTTGCTGGTTACTCACAGTAACTCGTGCAGAAGTTGCTGGTTACTCACAGTAACTCGTGCAGAAGTTGCTGGTTACTCACAGTAACTCGTGCAGAGGTTGCTGGTTACTCACAGTAACTCATGCAGAAGTTGCTGGTTACTCACAGTAACTCGTGCAGAAGTTGCTGGTTACTCACAGTAACTCGTGCAGAAGTTGCTGGTTACTCACAGTAACTCGTGCAGAAGTTGCTGGTTACTCACAGTAACTCGTGCAGAAGTTGCTGGTTACTCACAGTAACTCGTGCAGAAGTTGCTGGTTACTCACAGTAACTCGTGCAGAAGTTGCTGGTTACTCACAGTAACTCGTGCAGAAGTTGCTGGTTACTCACAGTAACTCATACAGAAGTTGCTGGTTACTCACAGTAACTCGTGCAGAAGTTGCTGGTTACTCACAGTAACTCGTGCAGAAGTTGCTGGTTACTCACAGTAATTCGTGCAGAAGTTGCTGGTTACTCACAGTAACTCGTGCAGAAGTTGCTGGTTACTCACAGTAACTCGTGCAGAGGTTGCTGGTTACTCACAGTAACTCATGCAGAAGTTGCTGGTTACTCACAGTAACTCGTGCAGAAGTTGCTGGTTACTCACAGTAACTCATGCAGAAGTTGCTGGTTACTCACAGTAACTCGTGCAGAAGTTGCTGGTTACTCACAGTAACTCGTGCAGAAGTTGCTGGTTACTCACAGTAACTCGTGCAGAAGTTGCTGGTTACTCACAGTAACTCGTGCAGAAGTTACTGGTTACTCACAGTAACTCATGCAGAAGTTGCTGGTTACTCACAGTAACTCATGCAGAAGTTGCTGGTTACTCACAGTAACTCGTGCAGAAGTTGCTGGTTACTCACAGTAACTCGTGCAGAAGTTGCTGGTTACTCACAGTAACTCGTGCAGAAGTTGCTGGTTACTCACAGTAACTCGTGCAGAAGTTGCTGGTTACTCACAGTAACTCGTGCAGAAGTTACTGGTTACTCACAGTAACTCGTGCAGAAGTTACTGGTTACTCACAGTAATTCATGCAAGACAGGCGGCCGGGTACTCACAGATAAAGTAGTAGTCCTGGCCGGGTACTCACAGATAAAGTAGTAGTCCTGGGCGGGTACTCACAGATAAAGTAGTAGTCCTGGCCGGGTACTCACAGATAAAGTTGTAGCCCTGGGCGGGTACTCACAGATAAAGTAGTAGTCCTGGCCGGGTACTCACAGATAAAGTAGTAGCCCTGGGCGGGTACTCACAGATAAAGTAGTAGTCCTGGGCGGGTACTCACAGATAAAGTTGTAGCCCTGGGCGGGTACTCACAGATAAAGTAGTAGTCCTGGGCGGGTACTCACAGATAAAGTAGTAGTCCTGGGCGGGTACTCACAGATAAAGTAGTAGTCCTGGGCGGGTACTCACAGATAAAGTAGTAGTCCTGGCCGGGTACTCACAGATAAAGTAGTAGTCCTGGCCGGGTACTCACAGATAAAGTAGTAGTCCTGGGCGGGTACTCACAGATAAAGTAGTAGTCCTGGGCGGGTACTCACAGATAAAGTAGTAGTCCTGGGCGGGTACTCACAGATAAAGTTGTAGCCCTGGGCGGGTACTCACAGATAAAGTAGTAGTCCTGGGCGGGTACTCACAGATAAAGTAGTAGTCCTGGGCGGGTACTCACAGATAAAGTAGTAGCCCTGGGCGGGTACTCACAGATAAAGTAGTAGTCCTGGCCGGGTACTCACAGATAAAGTAGTAGTCCTGGCCGGGTACTCACAGATAAAGTAGTAGTCCTGGGCGGGTACTCACAGATAAAGTAGTAGTCCTGGGCGGGTACTCACAGATAAAGTAGTAGTCCTGGGCGGGTACTCACAGATAAAGTAGTAGTCCTGGGCGGGTACTCACAGATAAAGTAGTAGTCCTGGGCGGGTACTCACAGATAAAGTAGTAGTCCTGGGCGGGTACTCACAGATAAAGTAGTAGTCCTGGGCGGGTACTCACAGATAAAGTAGTAGTCCTGGGCGGGTACTCACAGATAAAGTTGTAGCCCTGGGCGGGTACTCACAGATAAAGTAGTAGTCCTGGGCGGGTCCTCACAGATAAAGTAGTAGTCCTGGGCGGGTACTCACAGATAAAGTAGTAGCCCTGGGCGGGTACTCACAGATAAAGTAGTAGTCCTGGCCGGGTACTCACAGATAAAGTAGTAGTCCTGGCCGGGTACTCACAGATAAAGTAGTAGTCCTGGCCGGGTACTCACAGATAAAGTAGTAGTCCTGGGCGGGTACTCACAGATAAAGTAGTAGTCCTGGCCGGGTACTCACAGATAAAGTAGTAGTCCTGGCCGGGTCGGAACTCCAGGCCTCCGGGCTGAGGGGTGAAGGAGCGGAAGGTGATGGTGAAGTACATGAGCTTGTACGGCTTGTCACAGACGGCGATGACCCTGGGAGACGGGTTGGTGATCCTGCACGTGTCGTACTCCTCCTTGCTCACCTGTACGTACAAAAGGAGCACCTTACAACCATCGTCGTACACAATGACCCACTTACAGTTATTTTCGTACACAAGGAACACCTTACAACTACTTCGTACAGAAGGAATACCTTACAACTATTTTCGTACACAAGGAGCACCTTACAAGTAATTCAATCATAATATCTTATACTTAATGTTACTCCCTAAAACAGTATATTGCCTCACAATCGGGGATCCCCGGTTCGATCCTTGAGCGGGATAGTCTAACAGGTAGGCTTTCTGCCCCCCAGCACAGATAAAGGCATTCGACAAATGTGACCATGGAGTGATAGCACACAATAATGAGGTCAATGGGAATAACTGGTAAAGTAGGACGCTGGATACTCAATTTCCTCTCGAACAGAACACAGAGAGTAACAGTCAATCAAATAAAATAAAGTCCAAGCGCAATTAAAAGTTCCGTAACTCAGGGTACAGTCCTTGCTGTTCCTTATTCTCATATCAGATATAGATTCAAATACAAGGCACAGCTTCGTATCTTTCTTTGCAGATGACACAAAAATCAGCATAAAAATTACCTCCGCTGAAGACATTGAAAAATTACAAGCAGATATTAATTAAGTTTTCGACTGGGCAGCAGACAATAACATCATGTTTAACAGTGATAAATTCCAGGTATTCAGGTACGGAAAAAATGAGAACCTTAAACATAATACAGGGTACAAAACACAATCAAATCTGCCCATAGTAAGAAAACAAATTGTTAAGGATTTGGGAATAATGATGTCCGACGACCTAACATTTAGGGAGCATAACCAAGCAAATATTGCGTCAGCCAGAAAAATGATAGGATGGATTACGAGAACTTTCAAATCCGGGGGATCCCATCACAATGTATGTACTATTCAAATCACTTGTGCTGTCCCGTCTTGAGTACTGCCAAGTACTCACTTCCCCCTTTAGAGCAGGAGAGAATCCTGAAATAGAGGGAATACAGAAAACATATACAGCATACATAGACGCGATAAAGCACCTAAATTATTGGATTGCCTCAAAGCTCTCCAAATGTACTCAATAGAAATAAGACGAGACAGATATCAAGTAATATGCACGTGGAAAGTACTGGAGGGCCAGGTCCCAAAGCTGTTGGGACCTGGCTGTAGGTTGCAGCGGCCCGCAGGCCCACATACCCACCACAGCCCGGTTGGTCCGGCACTTCTTTGAAAAAAACTATCTAGTTTTCTCTATGAGAATTCAACGGTTGTTCCGGCAATATTTCTTATGCTTGCTAGGAGAATGTTGAGCAACCGCGGACCTCTGATGTTTATACAGTTTTCTCGGATTGTGCCTATCCTTCACTGGTTCTATTCTGCATTTTCTTCCATATCGTTCACTCCAGTATGTTGTTATTTTACTGTGTAGATTTGGGACCTGGCCCTCCAGTATTTTCCACGTGTATATTATTTGATATCCCTCTCGTCGTCTTTCTAGCGAGTACATTTGGAGAGCTTTGAGACGATCCCAATAATTTAGGTGCTTTATCGCGTCTATGTATGCCGTATATGTTATCTGCACTCCCTCTATTTCAGGAATCTCTCCTGCTCTGAATGGGGAAGAGAGTACTGAGCAGTACTCAAGACGGGACAGCACAAGTGATTTGAAGAGTACAACCATTGTGATGGGATTTCTGGATTTGAAAGGTCTCGTAATCCATGCTATCATTTTTCTGGCTGACGCAATATTTGCTTGGTTATGCTCCCTAAACGTTAGGTCGTCAGACATCATTATTCTCAAATCTTTTACATGTTGCTTTCCTACTATGGGCAGATTTGACTGTGTTTTGTACCCTTTTTTGGGTACAAAAAATACCAGATACGGTAATTTTTACCGTATCTGAGTACCTGAAATTTATTGCTGTTAAAAATCATGTTTCTGCTGCCCAGTCGAAAACTTTATTAATATCTGCTTGTATGTTTCCAATGTCTTCAGCGGAGGTAATTTTCATGCTGATTTTTGTGTCATCTGCAAAGAAAGATACGAAGGTGAGCCTTGTATTTGAGTCTATATCTGATATGAGAATAAAGAAAATCAGTGGTGCCAGGACTGTACCTTGAGGTATAGAGCTTTTAACTGCGTTTGGACTCGATTTTATATATTTGACCGTTACTCTTTGTGTTCTGTTCGACAGAAAACTGAGTATCCAGCGTCCTACTATACTAGTTATTCCCATTGACCTCATTTTGTGTGCCATCACTCCATGGTCACATTTATCGAATGCCTTTGCAAAATCCGTGTATACCACATCTGCAATCTGTTATTCTTCTAATGCCTCAGTGATTTTATCGTAATGGTCAAGTAGCTGTGAGAGGCATGATCGTCCCGCTCTAAATCCATGTTGGGCCTGGATTGTGGAGGTCATTGGTTTCCATGAAACTAATGACCTGACTCCTGATCACCTCTCAAATACTTTTATTATGTGGGACGTTAGTGCAACTGGAGTATAATTCTTTGCCAATACTTTGCTCCCTCCCTTGTGTAGAGGGAGGGAGCATCTGGTATCTCCCCCGTGTCCAAGGTCTTCCTTCACACTATACTGAGTGCCTGTGCTACTGGCACCTTGCATTTCTTTATAAATATTGAATTCCATGAGTCTGGATCTGGGGCTGAGTGCATGGGCATATTGTTAATTTCTCTTTCAAAATCTGCCACTCTCGTGTTGATATCAGTTATATTTACAGGGGTTTGGATATCACGCATAAAGAAGTTGTCCGGATCTTCCACTTCCATACTGTGTATCGGAGTGCTAAACATGTCCTCATACTGTTTTTTAGGATTTCACTAATTTCTTTGTCATCCTCCGTGTATGAACCTTCACTAGTACGAATAGGTCCAATACTGGCAGTGGTCTTTGCTTTTGATTTAGCATATGTGAAGAAATATTTTGTGTTTTTCTTTATTTCTTGAATTGCTTTCTGTTCTTGTTGCCTTTCTTCAATCTGATATGAATGCTTTAGTCTCTGTTCGATTTCTTCGATCTCCCTGTTTAAATTATTCCTTCTTTGTATGGAAAATCGTGTTTGCTTAAGTATTTCTGTTATTTTTTCCTTCTTTTGTAGTGTCTGCGATCTCTTTCTACATTGGACCTCTTTCTGGCTTTCCTCAAAAGAACATGTTTCAGACAGACTTCATATGCTTCAGAAGTAGGTTTTTCTATTCCTTGTGTAGGATTTTTATTACTTAGAACATTTTCCCATTGAATGTTTGTAAGTTCCCTGTTTATTTTTTCCCAGTCTATCCTTTTATTATTAAAATTGAATTTATTGAATAACCCTTCTCGCTTGTTGTTTCTCTTGGGCCTACTACCGTTATTAATGTTAAGTGTCTGAGATAGTAATGTTTCTCATTAGCTCATCATTGTTCGTGAATATCAGGTCCAGCGTTTTTTCCGTTCCTAATTGGTTCTATAATCTGTTGACTGAGCGGAAATTTGTCACAGAATCTCAGTAGTTCTCTGACCTGTGGTTGGTTATTTTCAGGTTGATTTCCTGCTATAATGTTATTTTTTATTATTCTCAATTTTAAACTGGGCAGATTGAAGTCGCCAATGAAGATAATATCTGGTAGTGGGTTTGCTAGGTTATCAAGGATATTCTGTTCTGCATATTCTGAACAGGATATTCTGTTCTGCATATTCTGAACAGGATATTCTGTTCTGCATATTCTGAACAGGATATTCTGTTCTGCATATTCTGAACAGGATATTCTGTTCTGCATATTCTGAACAGGAAATTCTGTTCTGAAACCATGTTGTCCGGAGTTATGGAGCTGTTGTTATTCTATGTATTTTGTGATCCTATTTGTTAGCACTCTCTCAAAGATTTTTATGATGTGTGATTTTAGTGCTATCGGTCTGTAATTTTTGCCTTTGCCTTATTTCCTTCTTTATGGAATGGTCTATAGCAATTTGAAGGGATATGAGGATAAAGATTTAAGATACGACGGAGGAAAGGAATGCGTCCAACCACTTTAACGGTCGGGGATTGAACGCCGACCCTGCAAGAAGCGAGACCGTTGCTTTACCGTCCAGCCCAAGTTAGTTAGTTTAGTTCATTTATTATGCGCCCCATACCCATCTTGTGGGGAGGGGTAGTGGAAAGGGTTACAGAGGGACATAATGGGCTCAGGGACTGAACCCCACAATTCATTTAGCTAAGCTGGTCGACCAATGGCATGGTTGATGAACTATGATATATCTCCATATATACAGGGCCTAATGATGCTCAATACTCTTAAGTATAAGATGAATTACCATCAGACACCTACGATCTGTGACAGACAGGATCTTCCCGCTCTATGTCCATGTTGTCCTGGGTTGTGTAGTTCATTATATTCCATAAAACTAGAAATTTGATTTTATTCACTCTTTCAAAAACTTTTATTGTGTATGATGTTAGTGCAACTGGTCTATAATTTTTTGCCAAATCTTTACTACCCCCCTTGTGCAGAGGAGTTACATCTGCAGATTTAAGTGCTGCTGGTATCTTCCCTGTATCAAGGCTCTCTCTCCATATTACACTGAGTGCTCTCGCTACTGGTACTTTACATTTCTTTATGAATATTGAATTCCATGAGTCAGGCCCAGGAGCTGAGTGCATGGGCATATTGTCAATTTATCCTTCAAAGTCATCTGAGTTCGTGTTAATATCCGTTATATTATCTGGAGCTTGGATGTCATTCATAAAGAAGCTGTCTGGGTCATCAACTTTCATGTTGTTTATTGGTGTGCTAAACATAGCCTCATACTGGCTTCTTAGAATTTCACTAATTTCTTTGTTGTTCTCTGTGTACGTACCTTCGGTTGTAATTAAAGGTCCAATACTGGTGGAGGTTTTTGAGTTTGATTTTGCATATGCGAAAAATATTTTAGATTTTTCTTTCTCATGTATAGCTTTCTGTTCCAATTCCATTTCCTCAGACTCATATGATCGCTTCAACGTTTGCTCTATTTCTTCGATCTC